TGTTTCCATAACTAAAGAAATTACTTTTGCTAATATTGAAAAAGTTTAAAAATATATAAAAAACTTCCCCAGTTTGAAAAGGTAAGTTATATTGTTTTAAATCCCAGCTGAGGAAACATGACTCTGATTAACTCATGATAATCAATTAGCCACAACTATATTTAGGATATCCACCTCCAGCTGTTAAAACTAGGGCTTCATTATTATTAATAACTCTGTGAGTCAGACCAGTTCTTCCTTATTAATAACTCTGTGAGTCAGACCAGTTCTTCCTAGGTTTATTTGGTTATGTTTCAAAGTCCTCCCTGCCCCACTACCTTTTTTGCTTAATTTGCTTTGCTTTGGGAAATGAAAAAAAGAACAGGATAATCAGATTTCTTGGTCCTTCTCTTCCTTTAATTGCCTAGTTTCATTATGTTTCCATGGTAAGAAAAAAGCTTGTGATTCAACAAGCACAGAGAGCCCACTGAAGTTGGGAGATGCTATAAACTTTGCAAAGCACATCTGGTTTATTGAAAATTTCCAGCTTTCTTTTTCCTTTTTTCCCCCCCTTTTTTTTAAGAAAGAAAAGAGGAACAAGGGGAAGAAGAGAGGGCCAAAATAATATGAAGCAAACACGAGAAATATCTCAACACTGGTAAGGACAGACAGTTCCCTTACTGGAGTCTAAAAGCAGCTCTTTGCCAGTGGAAGAACCAAAGCCAGAGGTTGAGCAAAAGTTGGAATGGTGTGTGTTCAAACATAGCAAGGGTGTGTGAGGAGAAAGTAATGTTTCCTAAGCATGTTATAGTCATTAAAATAAAACATCTCTTTATGTTGACTGCTTTATGTTGGTCATGTCTAAAAAAGTGTGCAACACCTTCCAGACACAGTGGTCTGTCTGCAGGAATTTCTGGTTATTTTTAAAGCAAAAGAATGGCATTTTTCCTGCAAGTGTCTGATCAAGGAGAATTACATTGCTGTGCTGGACATGTACCACTTGCTGGTTTTTAACCCTCAGTTGAATTTATAAAGGAAATGAATTGGGTTGTTGTCCTGGTGTGCCAAAAAGAAAGGAGCACCACCGCCTTTAACACCAAACCAAAAGTGTGCAGTCTAAGCCATGGACAGAGGGAAATGTGTGCCTAAATATACTGAAGTTGAAAAATTTACCCAGTCATAATACAGAAGTCCCCAAACCAGAGTAAACCAAGTTTTTCTCAGTAAATTTAGTGGGGTCACAGAATGTAAAATATTTTTTGTGCTTAGAAAGCCAGTATGGTGTGAACATTATTATACTGGAAATAGTATTTTCTTCAGCAACATGACAAAAATGAAAAATGGAAGTGTTCAAGGCCAGGCTGGAGGGGGCTCTGAGCAACCTCCAGTCTAGTGGGAGGTGTCCCTGCCTATGGCTGGGGGGAGAAGGCTGGAACTAGATTATTTTTAAGGTCCCTTCCAATCCAAACCATTCTATGATACTATGAAAAAATTAGTTGTGTTATTCTCCCCAGAATTTTTTACTGCCTCAGTGGTGTTAGACTGCCCAGCTTTGCCCTCTGAGTGTTGCAATAGCTACTGCCCCACTGGTGTTTGCCAGGGCAGTCCTTACTGACACAGGTGGCTCCTGTGTTTGCAGTTGCAAGTCTATTACCAAGTTTATCTCCACAGTAAGAAAATGTTTTTGAATCACAAAATAACACTACTGCAGAGGAACTAGATGAATGAGGAGCTTTACTGTCAAGATCCTCAGCCTATATTTTCAAAATCTAAGGCCTACTCATCCAACAGCATAGCTTTCATTAGTAATGCAATAGGTCCTTTAACACTATAAGGACTGACACCAGAGTGGAAACAATTCAATCCAAAAGAAATAACACTTTGCTTCATGTAGCCAAGAACTTTTAACATGCCAACCAACAAGGACAGATTTGCCATTACATATAATTTACTTTAAAACTTGCTCTTCACTAAACATTTTCATATGCTTATGATGTTTTAATAAATACAAATTCTTCCTCATTCAGCTGAGAGACAAGCAGGATTAGTGCTGGCCATGAGCAAAGAACAAGCACTCCTTAGGTGTACCAATCTGGTACTGGAGATGCAGACAGTGAAAGGACAAAATGATTGCTGTTGGAGTCTGAGATACAGAGTGTGTGCCCTTGTTTCTGATACTTAGTTTTAAGATCCAGAAAAACACTGAATTTCATATAACATGAAATTCATGAGCATGTTTTCATGGTGATACATGAGAACAGCTGTTAAAGTTAGACAGAAAAAGCTAAAAGTGTGTGTAGATTAGAAAGTTTTTTTAAATCACCGGGTGAAAAAGTTTAGAGAACAGGAGACAAGATGGAGGATTTAGGGTGTTGTCTCTTGTCCCTTTTTCTTTCTTCTTCATGTTCTTCTCCTAGAGGTTTTTGGGTAGTAGTAACATACTACTAAATATGTTACTTAGTAGTAGGACATAAGTAGGACAGAGAATGCCGCAGTGCATCACAGAGGTGATGGGTCATTGGGTCATTAAGAAAAATAATTTATGTCTATTGTTAATTGGGTATAAATAGAGTGATAGATTGGCATTTAAGAAAACAAAGAGAAACACCTAAGGAAGTTAAAACTGCTGGAGGCTGATGGGAGTTTTTTCTCCTAGCCAACAGCTGGCCATTTCTAAGAATTGACAGCAGTTTTAACCATTGAAAAGTGACATCAACCTGTGAACACCACCTTAAGACCGAAGCCCGGGAATTTCTTTGTCTCTTTGTTTCCTGGCTGTGAAAGGTAACTGAGCTCCAGCTGGCTTCCCGTCCCCTGCCCAGGCCATGTGGCCCGGGCCAGGTCTGGGCTGGGCCTGCTGCAGCTCCTGGTCGGGAGATGGGGCCTGCGGGGCTTGCCCCAGGCTCTGGCCGGGCCAGGCCGCTCCCTGGCTTGGCTTCAGTTTTTGCTGTGACTGAATTCACCAGAGACTGCCGAGTAAGGAAAGAAAAACCTCTTGACCTGCAGCGGGCTGAAACAGTGACCACACTCTCCAGAGCAGCCATGAAGAATCTTCTATTGCAGACAGCTCCAGCTGCTGCTCCGGCAGAGATCACAGAACCATCTACAAAGCCTGGGCAAGATTTTAACTCTTTCATTACTCAGATGAGACTTGCAGATTAATCCTTTTTTTCCAGAGAAAGAAAAAGAGAGTAATCAACATGTAAAGAGACTTTATAAACTATCAGAGACAGTAAAGAAAAGAATTAAGCTTCAGAAGAGGTAGAGAATAAGAGATGTTTTATAAGCTGAAATATTTTTCTATTAAAGCTATGGAGATGGTCAATAGTGTTCTGAAAAAACTCCTTTAATTCATGACAGAGTATATTGTGAGGAATAGAGTGTTCAAAGTGTGGATTTTGAGCAAAAAGTAGAGTAATTGTGATACAGTGAGGTGCTGGAACAGAGGGGGGAGAAGTAATAGTTGAAGATTTGGGGCCGTTGCAAAAGCAAAGCAAAAACTTCTGTTTCCAGAGAAGCTCACAAAGACAGATGAAGAGAACTTTTTGCCTTTGAATAACTCATCCTTAAAAATGACATCCCTGGACTCATTGACCCATACACACCTCAGAGTGATGTGAAATGGGAGGAGTGAACTGATGACAGGATTTTCGGGCAGCTGGCATCAGAAAAATAGAAAACTGTAACAGAAATAGCTTTCTTGTGAGAAACTCCATAGATTAGCAGAAGAAGACTTCTGTTTCTCTACAAAGACTGTTGAAAAGACTCTAGCAGGAATTGGGACTGTTTTAAACACCAAAGTTTTTTTGTCTCTATATTGTCATGTGAACATGGAAATGGTTGGGTAGTGGTGGATAAAGGAGTTTTCTGGAATTTTATTCTGGTGTTCTTATTCTTGTAGTTTTGTTAATAAACTTTCTTTATTCCTTTTAAGTTTTAAGCCTGTTTTGCTCTTGCTCTAATCCATGTCTTACAGCAAAAAATAAGTAAGTTTTCTAGTAATTTTTTAGTTACTGCTTTAAAACCATGACAAATAGTTTTTGTCATGGTATAAAGATAAAAGAACTGTGTATTTCGGGGCCATTTTGTGCATCAGACACGAAGTGTGCCACAAGGCCTTGTTTGTACCATCAGAAGAAAGAAATGTACCAGATGGCAAAGATTAACCTTGTGTAGTCAGCCTGGAGAGACCTGTTAAGTTTTGTGATGACCTTCTAATAAACACAAGAAACAAGATTCTAAGGAGCTTGGGAGTTTTCTTCGAATCATAAGAACTGAGATAAGCAGGGCTCCCACGAGGGAGGATCCCAAAAGAATTCAGTCCAAAGGAGGCTAAGAAATCCAAGAATAAAAAGAAAAATACAGAAGAGATGCAACAGAAACAGAGAAACAGAAAAAGGACTTTTTAGAGAAAAGTTACAATTGCAGAACCTGGAGAATAACATGCACATGGTTCAGAACTTCAGACAAACCACACATGTTTGGGATTTCTACCTTTCTACTGAAATACACTTAGTAATAGAGAAGTGGATAAGATCAAGCATAGCTGGTATAGCACTGTACCAGCCACTAAGAAGAAAATTAACTCCACCTTAGCTGAAACCAGAACACCAAACTACCAGGTACATTTTTAAAGGAAAGAGACAAAGCACGGATATCCCCAGCTGAATGAGCATAGTGGAATGCAGTCAGAAGGAAAAGATAAAAAGATATGAAGTCTTCACCATGGCAAGGTGTGGTATCCTGTTATGGATACTGACATTGCAATTCTATGCCACATAAGAATAATGTTAAGGAAGATTAGAAAGAAATTAGTAAGAGCACTGATCCTTCTTTTAATGCTAAAATACATTCTAAATGGATATAGACCAGATTAGAAAAAATAAACTTCAGCCTAAACAATTTTCAGTGCCTTATTAAGTTTTCACTGCAGTCCCAGCACCTTAAATTGCTGTTTCCATTTTAATTCAGGCTTTTGACTGAGCTGGTGAAACTCTAACCACTTCAAAAGGAACTCTTACCTTGTCTCTAGCCTCATTGAGAAGGTCTTCTAACTCTGAGAAGCTGAAACTGGCCACAGTGATGAAATCACTCATCACGGGAACAAACCTGTCCCCTGATTCTTGCATACGTCTCTTCTGGTAATCCAGTTCCTGAAAAAGAAGTAAGAGCTAGAGACAGGCAAGTGTCAAAGATTCCTCAGTGATGAGGAAGTCCATCTGTTTAATTCACTGCAGAGGATACTCTGCTCCCACATTCATCCAGAGTTCTAACTTAGAAATCACTTTCTCACTAAGAAGTTTTTAGATGAGAGAGGGGAGGTCAAGGTGGGATGAAGGAAGGTCCTGGTTACAGTTTAACTCATCTTCAAACAACAACCACTCCCAAGAAAGCCATCAACATGCAAAGTTTCTAAAGCAAGTTTATAATTTAAGCATCAACTACATGAAGTGCTGCAATTTTTTTTCCTATACAAAATGACAAATGATAAAGAGCTCTGTGTAGCAAGGGACTTTAGGATTTTTTAAAAAGAGTTTTGCTCCATCATCTCTTCCCATGGTCAATCAAAATGTTGTATACTTGGGAAAATGTGCTCTAGATCTCCTCTTTATTTCTCTGAAAAGCACCAGGTGAACAGCAAAAAGACATCAAAATTGGTTCTCCCACTGAAGAACAAGTAGACAGATGCCAGGTACAACATTTGTTAGCATCCTGCTAAGCATTAGCTTGGATGTGTGTTAAGTGAAAAGTGACCATGTTATAAACTGGGGCTATTGTGCTAAGAAGAGTCATGGTAAAAGAAAAAACAATACATAAAATCATAGAAAACAAAGATCTATTTGTCTGCTACCTACAACAAGAAAAAAAATGGATTTCAAGATTCTTTCTTTCTGGCTCAAGTATTTTAGTTTTAAGCCAGGATTACCCATAGCTATCTCTCCCTTACTTTAATCATCATGCTTGAAACATGGAGAGAGCTACAGAGCTCCTCAAAATCACTAATTTATAGTGAGACTGATGTCTCTTGTGCCTGCACTTGGCTTGTGTACTGTAGACAGTCTCATGAGGACAATGAAATTGTAATCTGAACCTCATATTTATTCTCAGATGAATAATCAGTGGGAATGATAAAGCCTGACTTTCCCTATAGGGAGAGCAGCATGAAGCAGCAGGTCAAGTTACAATCTGACCTTATGTTCCCTTTGGAAAAAAAACATTTTTGTGCTGGCTGCTACTCTAGCTCCATGCATGTTGGGTACTCTCTGTTACTGCTTGTCAAAACAGTAGTTCACAGAGCCAAATGGGTAGGATTTTAAGCACCTATAGGTAGGTTTATAAGCATCCATGCTGAGAAACATCTTGGAATTTGCTCCACACACTGCTGCTGAATGCCGAAAATTACTCTGGCGGTCAACAATCTAAAATCTGACATGATATATCTTTTGCTCTGGTGTGAATTGGAAAGAGAATGTAACCACCCTAAAGAAAGACCACAAAGCAGAAAAGGGGCAGGAAAAGCCATAAGGAGGTGGCCAGAGAAAGCCCACAATGAAGAAATGCTACTTCCCCTGCTTTGTATTACATCCTCTTCTCTAGTGGTTTTCCTAACACATCACAAGGAACAGTCATGGGAACACTGCTCAGTATATAATTTTGCAGTGAATTTTGTCTGTTACAATCCCTTTGAAATGAACTTTACAAATACAAGAAATGTCACTTCACATACTTCTAAGAATTATGCATATTTTTTTCAGCCACTCTTTTCCATTCTTATTTTGAAGCTTATTTTAGGTGAAAGTTGCTCTACTCTCTCCTTCCCCCTTTCTCTGGCAAGTGAGTATAACAATTCTATCATCTTACTTACTGTTGAAAGCTATGGCATTTGGGACTGTTACTGGGGAGCAGTATTTTTCAAATAAAATCAAAATTAGGTGGTCTTCAATTTCAAATTCAGTTCTTCCCTGCAGAATAATTGGCTCAAAATGCAAATAAAACTTTAAACCCACACAAGTAATCACTATAACTATGTAATCAGTCAGAGAGCAACACCACAGAATAACAAATTGCTCTGTATCTTCTAGAAATGGTCTCTACTAATCATAGTAGCACAACAGAGGCTGGAACTGGCCCTGGTGGGCTGGGCTGCTGGCTTGCTAGAGGATGAAATGATTCAGCCATGGTAGTAATTTCTCAAGTCGTGGTTATGATCTCCTTGCTGTGTGAGAGAAGGCCTCTGCTGACAAAATTCCCTTCCATTACTTATCTGTCCTGGAAGCATCCTACACAAAGGCAACAGCCGCATGAATGCCTTGAAAATGAATGTATCTTATTTTTACAAAGAAGTGAGCTGCAAATCCAGGAAGCCAAATGGTTCATAATACCTTTAAGAACATCTGACTGTGAAACTATTTTTAGCTTTCTATTCTTAAGGGGCCTTGAAGAAACACCAGTCACTGAAGCCAAGGTTGTAGTGAGAACACACTGGAAGAGAATCAAGAATCACACCTTCCCCTCCTCCCCCTTCCACCTGACAGTGATCTTCTATTCTTGCTATAGTGCTGCTTTTTACATGCCAGAAAACCATGAACTGAGCAAGCAGACTAGGAGGTGCTGGCAGCCTCAGAAGAAAAATACCATGGCAGGAAGGAGACTGAGGCAAGAAGATGGTGACTGTATGGGAAGGAGAGGTTGCCCATGGAACCCATGTATGGAAAAGAGAAGAAAAATCAGCTGTCAAGGCAAAAAGACAAATAATCTGAAAGAATATAAATACAATTAAAATGAAAGAAAGCAAAACAGAATTAGCTACTCACATTTCAAAAAGGGGAATTGTCTATCCCAGCCAAAACTGAGCCTCTCTTCATGTCATGAACTCCATGTCAGCCTTCCCTTTACAGTGCTTTTAATTCCCAAACACTGTACTCCATGTATGGAGAAGTATTTCTACTCATTGCTGCATTCTCCCATACTCTAACAATCCAGAAATAAGGTTGGAAAAGTTTGGGTTTTTTTATTCACAGGAGGATCACTGGTTAATTACATGATGAAATGCTGGCAACAGCCATTCAGCTTGGGGGCCGCTAACAGGACAAAGATACCTTCCTCTACCCCAGAGGCAAAAGCAAATTTAGGTTATGTGAAAGAAAAATGAACTTATCACTGTCTTGTCTCATGGTGAATGGGAAGGACCGGAGGGTTCTGTGTTAGTACCCTGTACATAGGTAATCTTTGCACAGAAATCACCCAATGCAATTTCCAACAACTGGTTTTCAGTAGTAGCAGGAAAAACCCCACCCTTGTTGCTTTGCTTGCCAGCTCAGATGTTTCATCTTCAGCTAGTTTCTATCCTTCCCTTTGCCTTTCCAAGGAGTGCTTAGGATAGAGGTTAGGGTTGCATATAACAGAGCACTACCTGCTTACTACTACTCCAAGAGCCATGTGAAACACTTGCTCAGCAGCCATCCATCCCACAATAAGAAAGAGCATGAGTCTTATTTCTTCTTTCAGTCCATGACATTGTCAAACTGTCCTTTTACCTTTCAGGTTGATATCAAACAAGCTTTTCATTAGCCTTAACTCTAAGCTAAGATCATCAGAAGGAGCTCCACATAAGAAGATTTTATTTGTTTTTTTCTTGGTTAATGCATTCTGGAATGGAACGGAATGGAATGAAAAAAGAAAGCCTACTTTATCTTATCATAAAATGTATTGTGCCCCTCGTTCTGAGAGAGATATTGTAAGTTGGGCACTTTGGAAACCTTCACATACTTACAGTTTCAACAGCTTTCAATCCAGTCTTTATGTTGTTGACTTCCTTCTCCAGCTCAACCAGGCTGCACAGGAGACAGACACAGAGCAGATAAAACAAAAAGAGCAGCGTTACACAGCGTTACACAGGAACTGTGCAGCAGAACAGACCACTGGCCCATCATGTCTGGTATCTGGCCTCCGGCACCAGCCATGCCAGATGATTCTAAACAAGTGGAAGGGGATCTGTTGATGCTCTGTACTATTTTTTGTATGATATGTAAGATGAGGCAGACCCTGCTTGCCTGTGGTCACACTGAAGACTGGGATTTTTCTGGGAAGGGGAGGTTGCCCTCAGAACATCTGCCCTGCTAGCTGAGCCTGACCCTTCAACCAGGAGTGTATGCCATTAGGGTTAACTAATTAGGGTTATGCCATTAGGGTTAACTAAGGCTAACCCCTTTAGCACACACATCACTGGAGTCTCAGATTGTTTCTACATATGATTCTTATACCACAAAACTACTAAATCCCATTAGCAGTACATTTACGTGTGATTTTTTTTTCTTCCTCTCAGTCCAAACATTGTTTTTTCCATCTGCACTTTTACCATATGGTAGTCTGGGCCAACTTACACTGTAACTGAGCATAGAAATGTACTGTTAATGTTCATACATGTTTCCCTAGACACAAAAGTTACACTGAATTTCTGCTCATCATATATAAATGTGAGTTTCTTTTTTTCCTAGGGCTTGTGAGCAAAATAAGTCTTTCATTTCCAGATGACTAGTGAGCACCTATTGGTGAGTCAGCAGGCATCCCGTCCAAATAATTGGGGAGTAGTATCTTACATCTCAAAAACACCACTAATGCTTTAATAAATGCCTTTTAAGTGTGAAAATACATTAATTTTTCACTTGTCTTTTGTTAGTTGGACTAGTTCCTTACATGAAGAATCATGTCTGGGTAAATAATATGCATAATATTTTTTGAGCAGTGCTTTGGAAAGAGAAAAAAAAAAAAAGTTAATCTTTTGGGGGGTGGCTTCTATACTCATTTTTCACACTTCCAGAAATGGACCATTGACTTTTTACAGAAAGTACGATGCTTTCCATATTTCTGTGCAAGACTGTTTTATGCAAAACTTTGAATAATCTTCCTGAAAAAGATTTACTGTAGCCTCTGTGCCTAATTGACCCTGCAATTACCCAGAAAAAATAGCACACTTTGATGAACAACCATAGAATATAGTAGGTGAATTACAAAAACAGCCAGTCTAGTTAGAATGTCTGATTCAGAAATAAATACAGGCATATCTGAGTAAAGCTATCGATTCAGTTATCTACAACAAAGGTATTACAACTGTAAGGCTGGCCATGGGTTTAGAAGACAGAAATGAAAATGAATTATATAACTAAGTTAACAAAAATTGCTGGGAACTCCAGCTCTGAGAAATAATAGCACTGGACTTACTTGACTTTTGCTGCTTCTGGAAGATGCTGCAACTCAGATTGGATATCTAGGATATCTGGATAATTCTTTTCAAAGATCATAATTAAGTAATGCAAGAGTGTAATGTTTCTAAAGAAAACAAAATAACAAAGAAATGAGAAGGAAGATTGTAATGAGAAGGAAAGGACGGTGAAAGGATTGTGACAAATCAGTGAAAAATATCTGGGTAGGAAATATGCTTGTTTGAACAAAATAAACAATGCATCAGCAGTTAGCAGCTGTGCAACTGAAAGAAAAGTACAAAGGACTGAAATGGATTAGTCCTTTATGAACCATCCTTCCTAAAACCTCAAGCAACATACTGTATCCTAATTTATTCTGGAAATACCAGCATGCTTCCATCCATCTGTGTAGGTGGTGTAATAGAAAAGAAAATTGCATAACACAGCATAATATTTTTCAGCAGATACTTCAGAGAATAAACAACTAATAGTACTAAAGGGACATTAGGTTTTAAGGGAAAAGCAAGCTGTCCTCAGAGGCAAAGTGGGAAAAAAACCACTGAGAACTAAGAAGAGAAAAAAGGTTCCTGAAGGTTGGAAAAGCTATAAAGAAAACTACCATAGTAATGAAACAGTTGAGCTTATGTGTAGTTGTCAGGCTCACTAACACAAAACCAATGGCAGCCCAAGTAGGAGCAGATAGAATTGAGATATATGAGGGATGCAGAAGGTTTAAGGAAATTTGTAAAGTAAACAAGGAATTCTGCTTGTAAAGAGAACAGACAGCCATAACAGGGAAGATAACAGATGGCCACTGCTTCACACAGACTGGAGCCTGGGAGCTGGGAACTGGTAAGAGAACAGAATCTGCACAGGACAATTTAATATATGGAAAAATCAAGCCAAGATACATTAAGGCAAAAAAGAGTTTAACATTAGCTATACAAGGGTTAGCCTTAGGATACAGAAAAAAAATTTTGGTAGTCAGAACAGTATTCTGTTAGTTCAAACTTTATTCGGTAGGAATTAATTTCTCATGATATTTTACTTCCATCATTCATTCTGTCACAGCCTGAAGTAATTTAACCACAATATGGTCTCAGCAGGTCTTAAAATTCAAGGAAGGTGCAAGTTAGTAAGAACCTGCATAAGAGATCTCCAAGGAAAATCTTACTTCTGCTGGAGTCCAAAAGTCATATTCTATGCCAAATCTCAGCTGGATTAATTTCCAGAATCAGTATAGGGATATGGGGCAAAACATAGAGTGACTATAAAGACCTACAGTCTGTATCAATGAACAGTAAGCTCCACATTCCCAAACCAGCTGATTTCCTTATCTGCTCAACCAGGATACAACCAGGATCCATTTCTCTGAGTTATGCCTTGTGGTTTCATTAGTGATGTACATAGAGAAAAAGTTTGTGACAGTCCTGCATCAAAAACATGTGCCATGTTTCACATGAGACATAAAATTGTGCTCAGATTTTTTTGTGTGTGTTTTCTTTTTTTTGGAAAACCACAGCCATAAAACTTTGGTAGAAAGAGCAAATTCCACAGAAATCCTGCTTCTCTCCAAACTTATTTAAATTTTTGTGAAATACATTTTGTCATCTATGCATAAGGTTGCAGAAACACAATTCAACATCAGATGTGCATTATCCAGAGAAACAGAAGAATTTGGTTGCTGTGTTAATAGCTGGTCTTAACTGCTGCAGAATATTTAAGAATGGAAATCACTATTTAAATGCCAAGTAAGATATTATTTTCAATTGTCTACAGAGCAAAAATCAAACAAAACCCCATTTTCACTGCTATGCTAAGAGATGCAGTGGCACAGTAACCAACGTATTTTTGACCTTTTACCCTACCTGTCTATGCTGGATTTGGTGTCAACAATTTTGTTCAGGCTGGAGACTTTGAAGCCATAAGCGCTTCCCCTCTGGCCCTTGTTCATATAATTCCCAAAGGCAAGAACTACCTCCAAGAGCTGCCTCAGACGCTTGCTTCGGATGAGTTCTTTGGATGCCAGAAGAATGGCTTGAAGAGAGAGAAAAAAGACAAGCAAGTTATTGCACAGTGGCTGCTTTTAAAGCATGCTTGGGCCCATAATTTGAAATACCCTGAATACCATTTGCACAACAAATACTGCAACAGTGTCTGTCCTTCCTGCACCCATACAACCCCAGAATGGGGACAACTGGAAGGAAAATGCACTACACTGAACTTGTAGGAAGCTCCTCTGAACACGGGACCAAGGCTGTTCTCCTGTTACTTCATACTCTAAAAACACAGCCAGTGAGAACAGAGGGAAGGCTTGAGCTCTTCTGAAATTGCAGAGTAGAATACACTCACTTCTTCTCTGCAATAACCATGCATGTGGGACAGAAGCCATATGCCTCCCCTGCTTCTAGGTTATACATTCCCAGAGTATCAGTGTCCTGAAGTATCTATTCTAAGTGCCTTTTGAAGAGGGATGGTGAAAGGACTTGAGGGTGAGAAGGGAAGGGTGACCTGCACAGAAAGGCCATGAAAGTTTTGGCAGCTCAGCACAGCCTGTCATAGTTTTCAGGTCATATTTACAATGTAACAATCATGAAAGTGACTTTATTAAGTCAATGGGTGAAAGAAGAATGTCAGACAGAACTAATTTCTTAGGGTATGGCATGCCTTGGGCTCACTGGCTCTACAAATACACCTGCATGTAACAGCATCTCCTTTGAAGACAAGCCTCTCTTGACCTTCCCTGCCCCTCTGCCCAACTCCTAGCAAATGCTTTATTATCCATACCTTCCACTTTTGGTTTTGCTTCTGCCAGCCTCTCTGGAAACTTCTTCTTAAAGAATAATGCTTGTAGCCGCTGCTGATAGTGGTCAATCCTGCATGAAGGGCAGAGGAAAGCCAACACTGAACTGGAACTCTTTAAGCCCAGGGCCAGAATACTTGCCATATAATCTAATGGTTGGATGTTCAGTCCCATGAAGCCAAGGCATGGGATTATGAACATAGTTCAAACAAATAATACTGCATAATCAACCTGGATATGAAAATGGGGGACCTCAAGTCATGTTTTGCTCTCAACTGAAAAGAAGCTGGAAGAATTCCCACTACACTCAAAATGTAAGAGTCATGGGAGATGCCAGCTACACCTCAATTAGCAGAACAAAATGTTAATCCTCATCAGGGGTGTAGCAAAGCTGGAACAAGAAAGAGGGTCAGAGGATGAGGAGATGAGATAGCATAACAGTAAAAGGGATCTATATTAAATTCTGACCCCTGGCTACACTACATCTGATACTTGGATCTCCATTGCTTTTGGTGAACAAATTTAGACAGAGGAGGCAGATTTCTGCTTGCCATCAGGGCACAGATGTACAGAGAGTGCTTCTTGTCAATAAAGTTTGTGTCATGAACAGAAATATTTGCAACATTCATGGGCTTCTGGCAAACACAGGGTATAAATGCTGGCTCACAGTCTTGTACATTCCGCCCCAGTGCCAGATGATCAATTTTCAATAACAATTACAACTGCTGCCAAGAAGTCCTGCATGCACTCTCCCAAAATGTATCAAACAGACCTGCTCATTTCAAAGAGGAAACGATCCGCCCGGGCCATGCGTTCAATTTCGTGTTTGTGCTCCTCCAACAGGTCAGTATCGCTTTTTTCAGGAATGAACTTCAGTAGCTAGAGTGAGAAACACAGACCAAACATTGAGATGTGAGATCCAAGGAAAATGAGAGAGGGATGGAGGAGCACAAACAAACCCTGGTGGAGAGAAAGCCCTCAGATTTCCCTGCTACCACTGGGAAGCATCACATTGACTCAGCCATGTGACCATAACTTCAAAAAAGTGCAGCTGTGTCTACAAAACTGACCTCTTCTAAACCTTTGCTTGCTGTTCTGTCTTTATCCTTCACTGACCCCACTAAGATTAATTTTTAATTCTATGGGGAATTTCCCATTTCAAAATCCTAAAGGCCAAGTGCTACTGCAACTTACCGAAGGGGAAGTACAGAGAGAACTTGATTCCCACAGCACTATTTGGAGTTTAGATTGGTGGAAACAAGGGCAGGATGTGTCCCAAACAATGAAGTACCCATTGTGCCTATTGTAGAGTATACGCAAAGCCTCATGTATCTCTCTTGGATAAGCCCTACATTGATGAAACAATAAAACAATAACCAAGCAACTGGATTGTTGCCCTGAAAATTCAGCTTCTGAGCTTGCTAACATAGTTTTTAAACTATGTAACTACATAACTACAGTTACTCCCAAGGCAGTAACTGTAAACATAGATATGTGTACATTCTTTCTGTTACACGTCTTGTGATGGGCATCTCTCATGGCCAGTGCAGTGAGAAAGTGTTATCCTGACCATCCAATCCCGGGCCGTGGTCAGAAGCGTATAAATCCTGGGAGGAAAAATAAACTCTGCTCTTCTTTTCACCACACCTCGACCTGTGTCTGTGTGATCTATTCATCTTCAGCGGTAACACTGGATATGTGTCTGACACTGGTTGCTATTCATATGCTGACCTTAAAAGCTCATACTCTGATAGATTTTTGACATATCTGGTGGTAGCTGTGCATTAGTATGGTTATAAATACTGCCCACAGCCTCAGCTCACACTCACAAAAATGGCTCACAAGGCATATCAAGCACTCTGCCTTTTACCACTTGTTCATACTTTATTGTACTGCAAATACGTGATATTCAATGGTGTGGAGCATCGGAAGCCCGCAGTGACCTCTGGAGCAGCTATGGTCATTCAGATAATGTGACAAATAAATTTCCACAATGGAAAAGCTTTTTGCGCAGGATTAAACACTGTGACAGCACAGAAAGAAGGAATCACATTTATTAGACAGTTCATAATTATAATGTTTTTCCCACTCCTAAGGAACTTTATCACATGTCGCTTTGGTGAAAGCATCATCTGTCACCTTTTATAAACTGAAATTGGGCAATGGTGGTGTAATTGTGGGGATTTTTTCCTCACAAGCTGTACAGTCAACCAGGTGCTGGGGATGGAAATCCCTGGCTCCCCTTCTGTTTCTGAGAGATCCCTTCTAGTCCTATGGCTCTAACCATTGACCTACATGGTCTGGTTCCTGGCATGTTCTGACAAAAAAAGCAGGTAAAGAAGGGAGATGAAGAAAAAGAAAAGAGAAAAGGCAAACAACAGCAACAAAATATAATCAGCAGGAAAAAGTAGAAATGGGAAAAATTATGTAAGAGAGGACATAAAAAGAAACCTCATACCACCTGCAATCAGGCAAATTTTGCACTGAGAAACAGTTACATGATAGAGGTATACCCGACAACATTGGGAAAAATACTTTTCTCATGTTCTCATATGCAGCTCCACTAACAGGACAGGGCCAAGTTCTGATCTGCAGAAACACCAGCAGTGCCAGTACATATATCCACTTGAGAAAAGGCAGTGAAGGACCTGAAAATGTTTTATCTGACTTAAATATTTCTCACCTGCTCAAGCATATCTTTTGCTAGGTCTTCTTGTTCATCCATCTTCAAGATTGCTTGTCTGATTTCTTCATTAGACAGCTTCAACCTTTCAAAAGTATCAACATTGTACCATTAGTGGAAAGTTTAAGTGACTGATGATTCAGAAAGTAGGAAGCCTGAAATGCTGCACTAAACAGGCATGAAACAACCACAGCAAGCTCTATTGTGAAGTTACTATTCTAGAATATTCAGTAAGAACAAATCAGTTCTAAAGACAGGAATTTTATGCATAATATATTTTCATCCTCTTCAGCTAACCAAACAAATGTCAAAAATCAGATGGTGATTAATAACGATCAAGTCCTCATAGATCAAAGGTACTTCTAAGTTCCCCCATACTGGACACCTCCCTCATTACGTTCTTTTGCTATAATAAAACTTTTCATGTCCATGTGACTTCTGACTGTGAGTTCATGTAACACCTTGACCTGTGAATATTAAAACATCTCCCAGAGTAACAAATAATGTGACTGAGAACTCTTTTACTGAGAAAGTTTCTTGCAAGAAAACTGCTTGTGCTAGGTAAGTTCACTCTGTCAGCAATGACAGATGACAAAGGAGCAAACAGCATCTGCTGTCTGTCATCTGCCATGTTACATATCCAATGTGAAACAAGCTCTGAAAACAGGAGCTTTTTAATGTTATCTGAGGTACTAAGATTACACTCTCCTTAGCACCTACTCCTGTCAATCTGTGTACAATGAGTAGGAGTCATCAGCTACAATTGAACACAGAATCAATAAAGAAAAGAAGTCTCAAGGTCTCTTCTTGAAATCCAGGGCAGATTAGGAGGAGTCAAAATTTGTGATTACCAAGATGTTGCTTGGTGGATATCTGAAATTAACTTGGTGGTTCTCAGAGAAGATGTCAACAAAGAAATGCACCAACCCCAACACATGATACTTAAGTCATTTCAGGAGACTAGGGAATATTGAAGTGAACCATAAAGGAAAAGCTACCCAACAAGAAAATCTCAGTTTTGGGACTGAAACAGTAGAGTGTAAAAATAAATATTTGAAGACTGAAGTCTACAGTCTCCATGGACCTTCTACTAACAATAATTAACCGTAGAAACAGAAAATGCAAATATAAATAAGACACAGACTGATACATGAGGCAAAATGTTTTAGTCTTCAGTGCTAGGAAGTTCCATGTTGAAATTTTACATTGCCATTGGCATTTGGATAGAATAATGTTTTTGGAACTAGGTAAAAGCAAAAGAAAATATTTATTTTTACACATAGGAAACATTACTAAATCTAAAAAACTTAAAATATTTTAATATTGCCCAATTTAATCAACAGCTAGAAATTAAAATATGAATCAACAGACATTTGAAATCCTTTAAATATTACATCTCTGAACCAATTGCTCTTATTGTGTTCCAAGTTGGTCATCATATCATCTTTCCACAAGGAGGGAAAACTGATACCAGCTAAGCAAGATAAAGTACTGAATTTCCAGAAAAAGTTCATAATTGGGCCATGTTCATGTGAAAAACGACATTCACTGTTCTGGTAAATTTTAAAAGGCTTAATAAAAAAGACAATAGGAGACAAAGACAAAGCAAAGGGTTAAAATGGCTGGGTGCTTGACACTCTGCCAAGAGCACACCCGGTGTTTTGGAAACACCCTTTATATACCATTTCTATTGCATCAACTTGATGCATATTCATGAACTTTATGCATATTCAAACTTTCTATTAACTATTTTACATTTCCAAGGACCTTTTTAGCATGGCCACTCCTTGGATCCGTCTTTTTAGAGCATGCACATTTCTTGGCTTGTGGTTTTAATTCTCTTCTTATCATCTTTTAATTTGGGCTTTGGTCCTTCTTTCCACAGGTGGTGAGTGTTGATAGCAGCCAGGTCCCCATCATCTGTTCACTGGAGGTTATCCTAACCAGCAGGCCATTCAAACATACTATATCGACTGTTACCACTTTTGCCTAAATTTTTGCTAATTGCAGTAGAGAAGAAAACTACATTCACACAGCAAAGCCATTCTAACATTATACATATAACATTCATCTTAATACTTGCAAAAAGCCAATATTATAATGTGTATTTATAACACTCACATGACATATAAGGATTACTAGTTTTATAATTGAAAGGTTGGAAACTTTTTACTTCAAGTCATTAGTTTGGATCAAAAAACCAAACTTCAGTACATGATGTTCTGCATAAAGCTCTACAGCTTCAGTCAGAAAATGTAAGGGTTACTTTTGGCTTAAATACTGAATTGTAAAGTCCATGGCTATGTGACCCTGAGCCAATCAAACACTGTGACCAGAGAATGGCTGAAACTGGTGGTTGTGGGGCTGGTCCCTAGGAGACACATACACATATGCCCAAACAATTTGGTGCCTAAAGTTTTTAAAGTGCTACATTTTGTTGATTATTTTTTCTTTAGAGCCTACCTTTGAATTTTCCAGAATCTGCAGTCTGCAGATTGGACTTGTAACACAGGCACACACTCTGTGAGGGGGAATGAAATAAAGCAACGCATCAACACCAGGGTGGAGGAGTTTTGTTGCTACTTTCACAGAGTTTAAAAATAATGAGGGTGCATTTCATGTGTTTTTCATGCAAATTACTCAAGCAATTACTCACTGACCACCCATCACACAGTGGAAGTACCTCTATGTGTGTTGGGCATGCAGCAAACAATAAACAGGTTTGACATATATCCACTGCAATGGCATTGCATATATTACCACTGATCTTGCTATTCTGTCCAGAAGCCAAGGATTCCAAGCTCCTCTTTTGCTGCCATTCATCAGCACTAAATACACTTGAAAACATCTTCTGTTCAAAAATAATTGAGAGCCCCAAGGACAGAGTTACACAAACACTTTGATTTCTTGGATGATTCTGTGCCCTGCCAGCCATCAGCAGAAAAACATCTGGTTTGAATAGTTTAGCCCACAGTAGAGGAAGGCAGAAAGGATGCCAGTCCCCTGCCGAGAAGCAATTTAACTTGGTCACTTACAGACTGCAACAGGGTCATGGTGCCTGCAGATGTGCATCCCAGATTATTACCAATCTAATTACTAGTATGGAAGGATTTACAGCAAAATAATCTAACTCTTCCAAAATGGGCTTGTTCTTCTGGGACAGGATGCCTTTCAAAAGCAACAACACAAAACAAAACACAGATCTTCCCACTTAAAAACTGCCTGAATAACTGGCCAAAGAATTGTTAATCAAAAGATTCTTTGTCTATTTTCAAAACTCATGCCCAGCCATGCAGCAGATCTTAAAGATGGCCAGCAGTAATGTGAAACAGATGTGCTGCTTTTAAACAGAAATGGGTGAACTGATTAAAGAAGAACCTAAAGCACATGTGTTAAATCTTTCAATTTAAAACTGAAAAGAGGTATCCCTCAGAGCCTAAAACTCATATGAGAGAGACAGCAAAATTAAAGTGGAACTATGGCCCAAAAATTTACACTACAGAAATGACATTTTGGTATCTATTGGAAATCTGCAATGACTTCCTTACAAGCTTTTCAGATCCAGACATTCTTCCTCTAGCTGCTGGAGATAACTCAATTTGGAACAGCATACAATTCAAGCTGTACTCCCTCTGATTTACACTTCTTGAAATCACGTATCCTGGGATCACAACACAGGGAAGTAAATGTGACCAGAAAAAAATACAGTGCCCCTTTCCTCAGCTGCAGCACATTCATTTACAGCACAGATACTGCCTGTTTTTGTTCAACAGGAGCCTAACACTGGTCAGATGAGGAAGGAAAAAGATCTTTACCAAGAATACTCCCTCCTTCTTCCTTCACTTGTACATCTGGAGCCAGTATATGGAAGTCCATCTGCTTGAGTAATCTTCAAGCAATGTTAAAGCTCAAAAAGTACCAAATAACTTCTGATATGCTACTTAGCATGCATCCCTCTCTCCCCTCTGGCATCATAAATAATTTCTATTGACTCTGCACAGTAATATATCACTAATCTCCCCAGGACACCTCGACTGATTTAACACCAGCTTCACTCACAGACATCAAGTGGTTTATTGTTTCATCCGCTTGGAGAATGCCAACAGCCTGACTCAGAACATGACTGGGAGACATGTTGCAGTTTTACATCAACTTCCCTTACAGACATCCAGCACTCACTCATTTTTTCCTCCTTAAATATACCCATTGATTTAACTCACAGTAACCTCCCCCCTCCATTTCTCCCTCCCATGAATCAAAGCAAAATGATGCTTGTCACTCATTAACCATCTCCCCCTCCAAGGAAAAAGTGAGTTATTTCATGGACTTGTTCCTTGGATTTTTCTTAGCTTTTGAGAAGGAAGATACTTTCCCAGTAACAGAGAAATTGAATGTTGTTGCAGATACGTTAAGCTCCCACCCCACAGGGATCAAGGACGCACTGTTTCTTTTACCTTGGAGAAGAGGACTGATTATCATGTATCAAGGACGTTTTATACCTCCTTGTGGTAGGTTGGCATTTAGGAAAAAGAGTCGGAAAACATCCACGGATGTGAGGGCTCTGAGAGAGGCTGCTGGGAGTTTCTTCCCTGTCTGAGAACTGGCCAATAGCTGGCCATTTCTGAGAACTGACAGTTTTTTGACCATTGAAAAGTAAGATAACCTTTGTGAATACCACCTTTTAACCTTAAGACCGAGAGCTTCTGGGGTTTTTTTTTTGTTTGTTTGTTTTGTTTCCGGCTTTGAAAGGTAACAGAACTCCGGCTATCTCCTATTCCCCGCTCCCCTTGCCCAGGCCCATGTGGCCTGGCGGGGGCTGGGCTCAGCCTCCCACGACTCCCGGGCAGAGGATGGAGCCTGCAGGATTACCCCCGGCTCCAGGCCAGGGCCAGGCTCTGCTGCGGCCCTCCCGGGAAGCCTTCCGGGTCCTATTCCAGCGGGGTGGTTGAAGCCTTTCCCAGGGGGCCTGACCCTAGGCTGGGCTGGGCCGTGGCTGCTGACATCTTGCCGATATGCCCGCCCCATGGCCTGCACAGACGGCTCCAAGCCGAAAAGCAGCCGAAAACTATCCACTGCCTTCCTGCACTGCTGAGCTGAAATCCGACACCATGAATATCTGCCACGGCTTGAGCCAGATTTTAACCCTTTAACTACCCAGCTAAAACCTGCAGATTTAATTCCTTTCCAGAGAGCAGAAAGCGAGAATGATGAACATGTAAAGAGGCAATATAAACCATCAAAGCCAGTAAAAGAAGGAGTCTAGCCTCAGATGGAAGGGGAATGAGGAGATGCTTTAATAAGCTGAAGTACTGTTTCGGTAATGCCATGGAGATGGACAGTAATGTTCTGAAAAACTCCTTTAATTCATGAAAGAGTATTTGGAGGGGAGGGAATGAAGTATTTCAAAGTGTAGATCTGAGCAAAGGTATCCATTGATGAAGCTGAGTAGATGGTAGAGTAGTTGTAATCCCATGAGATGCTGGAACAGAGAGAGAGAAGTGAGAGTTGATGAAGACCCTTGGCCCCTAGGGAGAAAATAGAGAAAACCTCTGTTCCCAGAGATGATCACAGAGACAGCTGAAGAGAACCTTTGCCTTTGAATAACTCATCCTTAAAATAATACCCCTTGAGTTCATGGCCCATGAACACACCTCAGGGTAGTGTGAAATGGGAGGAGGGCATGATGGCAGAGTTTTTTTCCAGGTGGCTGCCATCATGGGAATGAAAAGCCATGAGAAAACTGTTTTCTTGTGGAGAACTCTCCATGGAATGACAAGAGAGAACTCCTTTCTCTCCAAAGACTAATGAAAAGACTAATGTATAGTTGGGACTGTTTTAACCACCAAGTTTTGTCTCTGTGTTGTCAGTTGGACAAGGCAAAGGTTGGGTGGTGGGGAGGAAAGGGTTTCTGGAGGTTTTATTCTGTTTTCTTATTATTGTAGTTCTGTTAATAAATTTTCCTTTTTCCTTTTAAGTTTTGAGCCTGTTTTGCCCTTCTCCTCATTCATACCTCACAGCAAGAAATGAGTAAGTTTTCTAGTGATTCTTAACTAGTGCTTTAAAACCACCACATTGCTATTGAACTACAGTGCTCCCAACAGATGCCAGTAGTAGTAGCTGTCATAGTGACAGGCACTGATTGATACTTAGCTATGTCCTAAGGCAAATTTGTACAGCTCACCCAAGTCTTAGCTTTATTGACTGCAGAATTCTCCATCTCCACAAGTCATTTCACACAGGCTACTAGTTAATTCATTCCTGAACTTTGTGACTAAGACAGAAGTGTTCTCTAGCTCCTGAGTTCTCCTAAGGCTCTGTACAACTTCCAAGCTGCAGGCTTTTCAATATTTACGTTTTGGGAATACTGATTGTCACTACCCCATAAAGGCCTCCTCTCAGAAGCAGCATTCAGGAACCAGGCTGGTCTAACTTCACATTCAGCCGGAAGACAGAAAGATGCAGCCACTCTTTCTACATCCTCTTACCTCAGTTGCCCAAGCATCTCAGTTGTGAAGATAATAGTGGTTTAACCTTTGTGCGACAACAGCTGGGACATTTTACCAGGTACATCTTACACTATTATATCAACATGTTGGGAAAAAAAGTTCCACCAGTGCCTTTTCAGAATGTCACTGTGAAAGTATTCTGGCAAGTACAGAAAGAAATAGGCTTTTCTTTCCTGGTTTCTTCTTCAGCAAAAGTTCATGAGTAACCAAGCAACTTTGCATTCAAATACTCTCAATTACCTTCCAAGAAGGATCTGGGGATGACTATTTTCCTGATCCAGGAGGAGCAAAGCAAGACCAAATATGGGAATCCCAAAATTACTATGAGATATTGATGAGGCAGTGGTTCATCTTTTATCACAACCCTACCTTTAGGTTCCTAGTTGTGATCTCAGATAGGATTGTACCAACTTGTTCCGTTTGCCTTGGAGTATCATACTCAGCATAACAGGTAAAGCCATTTATTATGGACCTTTATTTAAACCCAAAAAAATCTCTCCAGGAACCCAGCAGGCACTGGTTATTGCCCAGTGTTTTTCAATACAGCACACTGAGGAACAGCAATGCTGAGTCAAATCAGCTGTTTCTGTATCAAGATATGATCTGATCATACTTAGTCATACATATGACTATCATACTGCTTCAAGTTTACCTTAAAACAAGGGTGGAAGCACTGAATTGTCACATGGCAGAAAGGCACACAGGGACTGGGGCAGTGCAAAGCTGGTACACAGAGACTGACATTGGCTGAATAGCTTGTCCCCTTAATGTCTCAACTGAAAGAGTGTAAAAGCACTGAGGAGGTACAGTGATGTGAAAAAAATACTTTACCTCTTTCATATTCTCATTTTTTTTCTTCTCCGTTACTGATGTTTAAAGTAACAAAGCCACAAACATTTACTAAACCTGTCCCCTAGTACCTGTCTACTGTCACATTCACATTTAAAACTATAATTGTATAGTCACATTCTGCCTTCTGCTACTGTTGGTTTTAATACATTTTGCTAGCACTCCTACTGTTTCCAGCCTCTCGAGAAGGTTACTGCTGACTCACTGAGCCACAGAAATAACAA